TGAAAGGAACTTTCTCCTCTTCTTCTTGTTCTAAAATATATTTCTCCTAATTATTACTCTCTTTATCCCAAAAATAATGTCTCAGTTTATTTTTAAAAAATAATACGGAGTAGGATTTTTTGTTTATTTATACGTTTTTATTGATTTTTTTGATACGGAGTAAAATAAAAGATTATTGTTACTCCTAGTTTTAAAAAATTTTTGAGGTGGTTTTTAAACACGTAAAATTTATTTTTTAAATTCTATACCAATTTTTAGATAAAATAAATTGAAAAAAACTTTAAATATCAATTTGTTTTTTTGTAATGTGTCAAATATTTTGGGACGGAAGGAGTAAAAAATTACTTTGCTCTACTAATTGTTACTACACCAAGGTTTCCATGACATTGGAATCTAATGTCATGGGATGACCCGAGGGCGCTTCGGTGCCCCGTTCGTAAAATTGACGGTTCCTACCCCCTAATCCCCGCCCCGACCCGAACACCCCCTACCCCCGTCAATTGCACCCCACAAGTTGATTTTGACCTTGGAGTCAAATTTTGACTCCAAAGTCAAAATCAACTTGTGGGGTACAATTGACGGGGGTAGGGGGTGTGTTCGGGTCCGGACGCGGTGGAGGGGTTTACCGGGGGGTTAGGAGAGATAGGAACCGTCAATTTTATGAACGGAGTACTAGAGCGTCCCCGGGTCATCCCGTGACATTGGATTCTTTCTTTTTTAAAAATGTATCGGAACGGGGGATGTGATTTTTGTACAAATACATCTATCTTATCACTATACACAATAGGCAAATTCTTTAGTAGACTTAAAATACACCATAGATTTACATATGAGTAAAATAAGCAATTACTTACTGTTTAAATAACCATCCATTTTTTTAATAAAAATAAAAAAAATAGATTTTTTATGTTAGAAGGTCCACAAAAATGATATGATCCAAAGTTCACCAAAGAAGCACTCTACACAATAATATATACACAATAATATGTTATTTTAAATTAACAAACATTTATATATATCATTTGTTTATTTAAAATCATAATTAATTAATGGTCAAAGAGATAATAAAAGTCAAACTAGGCCTATAATTTTAGGACGGAGGGAGTTGTGTTTTTCTCTGCTCTAGCCATTCATTTTAGTTTTTATTACTTCCTTCGTCTCAAAATATTTGTCACATTATGCAAAATGAAGTTAATTTTTAAATTTTTTTCAATTTTTTATTTATAATTTAATTTGTCCCATTATTCTTTTGGGGCGGAGTAAGCATAATTCTAAAAAGATAAAGTGTATCAAGACAATATACTCCACACCGTAATTTAGATGAAATTGATACGAACACACATAGTCGATCAGACTTCGATATTAAAGTTATTTATAAATCGAACTTCACTATATACGTACTCCCTCCGTCCACAAATAAACACTACGTTTATTATTCATAGGGTCAAACTTTATTCACTTTGTTGGCCTATTTTCGTCGCCCATTTGATAAAATAATAAAGTCATGTCACTTCTAGTTTTGTAGATCTTTTGATATAGTTTTTTAATATGTAATTTTTATTTTTCAATTCTACACCATTTTTCATATAAAATGATTTGAAAATAAATTCAGTCAAACATCGTAACGCGCAATGTAAAGTTTATTTGTGGACAGAAGGAGTATAAGTTTCTCTTACTATATGATAAGCACTCACTCTATTTCAAAAAGATAGTCACATTTTGACGTTTTTTGGTCAAACTGTGTTATACTTTGACCATATATATTTTTTAAAAAAGTATAGTTAGTGATAATGTAAATTTTGTAAAATTAGATTATTTTAAAATATGGTTTTGATATATCAAACTTATATAGTGATTGATCGTATAAAAATATACGGAGTATATTTTGTAGTCAAAGTATTTCATAATTTGCCAAAAAAAAAGAAGATCAGTCTTAGGCATAGCACTTTAGCAGCAATGGATGCTTAGTGAGTCAGTGGCCACTAGTTGTCCAATGCATTAGTAGTACGCCGGCCGTACTAATTCCATAGTCACGCCGAACTGCATATATAAGTGTGCGCATGCGGGGGAGAAATGTGATCCAGTTAGTTGGTGTATTTTGATATTCAATGGGACACTCTTCATCTTTAAATAAATGGACGAAATTAGGCTCACTAACTATGAGAAAATGTAAATAAGAAAAGATAATAAACTCTCATCAAATATATTCTGAGATACAAAGGAGGTTTCAACTCCTATTTATAATCTATATTTTGCTAAGTTCATGGTATGTAATCGTGTCCAACTTTCTCGGCATGAATGATCTGCGTGCGTCGATTATGGATAGAGAGTCAGTTTGTCATCAATTGCTCACGAATCACGATCAGTGGAATGAGACGCTCTAATCAATAAATGACCTGGGCCTAGGCCTAGTTCCTTAATATATTTGCGCTCCTTCGACCCAATCCCTATCCGGGCCAGTTCCTAACACTCAACCGGACCTGACATCACATTGGGTACTTCTCGATAACACATTGGGCCGTCTCTTCTTATTCACTAGGCCGATATCCATCTATCACTACCTTCTAAGAATTTAAAGTGCTTCATTCAAACATTCTAATAAATTTTCGACTCCTAGCTACTTGAGCCTCATGTTTTGTAGATACTATAGATTCGTACTCGTACATTGTACGATCATTAATTTATCTACACTCGAATATAGAATTCTAATATAGATCAGGAGTTATACTAGGAGCAAATAACATGAATGATTGATGTGAAAAAGAGTTCACTATTATGCAAAAGTCAAATGTAAAATGTCAATATATATATATATCCTTGTTGGTGTTAGGCCAACCAAACATCATATATTCGTTTGCTACTTGGATATTAGTGCTCTTATCCTAACATTACTCGTACGGACTATCACTCATCCACCGGGTCCCCATTCTATTATCCTAAAAAATCAAATTAGAAAAAAGTGAAACGTCCATCCGAGACGCCTCTTCAGTCTCAGTTGAACGGCCACTGACAGAAAATTTATTAGACTTTAATCGTATGCTGATGGCAAATAGTAAAACCTGTACCTGGCACTTGCAGAAGCCTTATGATTAGCATAGTTACTTCTTAACGTAGTTGACAGGAATGGAACTCATATCTTACAGCCTTGACACTCATTGTCTTGTCAACTACGAAACGCCCACCGGCCCTAAAAAATCAAACTAAAGCAACATACATGGGGGTGTACTCAACCGTATAAGTTAGAGGATTGGTTCAATATGATATGATGGGGTACCCAAATGGGTAGTGCTCTGCATGTATTCTTAGTTCCAACTTCCAAATGTTTTCAACTAATTCTTTCTCCTCTTACAATCCCAAACTTGAATTTTATTTATTTTTTATTCTTAGCAAACAAAGTGCGGAGAACTTTTTCTTCATTTCCTTCCATCTCCTTTAAATTCTTGCTAATTTTCAATTCCTTTAAAACATACCTTGATGCATGTGCTTGATCACCCAACTTGAAAAGCTAACTTTTAATGAATACTAATGACAATAATAATAATAATAATAATAATAATAATAATAATAATAATAAAATTAAAGTAATAGTATTTGATCTATGTCATAGAGTTTCGACAAAATTTTACATTAGTTGTTGAGATCTAACATACACAACCCTCATCTTTTATAAGGGCTTGGGATAGGCTATTTAACATAGTTACATAATTACAGAAAAAGTAATAGTAGTAATAATAAAAAGAGTGAAGATGCTGAAAGAATATTTAAAAATGACATTACAACATAAAGTATTCCGTAATCCGTAGATGTTAAGATAGATTATACAAATAAATACAGCGTACTTGATTCGGATACTCCATAGTTATCTTCAAACAATCAAGTCCATGATAATCGACTTTAAAGTTTTATACTTCATATACTGGTCTTATCCCATTGGATATCGGTTTGGAATTTTTTAAAAAAATCTTTAATTGGGTTTGATATTATCGGGAACAGTTTTGCCCCAACGGGCTTCTCTAAAATTTGGAAGGTCGGCCCACAAAGAATGCGATCTTGGAACCGGTGGCCCAAATTTATTTTTGGAGTTTACATTGTTTAACGGTTTGAATCCGTGGGCTTCCCTCTCACTGGCTCGAGTCTTCTTCTTCCACTCCCGTCCTGAATTCACAATGCTTTCAAATTGAGTACCGCTAACCTGTTTGTGGAAATGCGTCAAAGAACTTCCATTGATAAAGAGCACCAAACTGTGCTTCTCAGAAAGTCTCCCCGCTTGCATCCCAAGATTCAACAAAACTCAGAAGACCCAAAGACTCCTGATATCGAACCGAGGGCAAATCGGGCCACAGACCCCCAATTTTCTCCCCTCAGCTCGCATCGCTTTAAGCCTTCGAACAAGCGGCAGAGAGAAGTTTCAAGAAAGGCAAAGGAAAAGTGTACTGGCTCGAATTCGAGTACTGGTCTCCGAAAATCTTCAAGATTGACGTGCGCAACAGAGGTTTTAAAGACTAATGCCTCGATAATTTCTTCCAATTCGAGCCTAGGGTCTCGAAGGTCTTCCAGATTGAAATGTTTAACAGAAGCTTCAAAGACTGACGTCTCGATACTCTCCTCAAATTCTAACACAGGGTGTAGAAGATCTTCAAGATTGAAATGTTTGACGGGAGTGTCAAGTACCGATGTCTCGATACTCTCCTCAAATTCGAGCACAGGGTGTAGAAGATCTTCAAGGTTGAAATGTTTGACGGGAGTGTCAAGTACCGATGTCTCAATACTCTCCTCAAATTCGAGCACAGGGTGTAGAAGATCTTCAAGATTGAAATGTTTAGCAGAAGTTTCAAAGAGTAATATTTCCCTAATCTCTTCGAATTCGAGCACTGGGTCTCTGAGATCTTCAAAATCCTATCAAGTTGGGAGTGTCACTCCCCTCAGACGATCACAGAGGCTTGAAGGTGATGATAATATTCAGAGATGTTCTATTGATAATGTCGAGAAAAGGGTCACCAGGAGTTCCTGTCAATCCCAACCTGCTAAACCCTCCTTAGAAGTGGCAACTGAGGGAGGAGATAAACGGGGGGAAGATGTCGATTTGGAAGAAAAAAAGAGAGGGGTGAAGAGGAAGAAATCACATGGAAAAGATGGACATGTTATTGCTAAAGGGTGGACCAAGGAGCAAGAACTGGCATTGGAAAGAGCCTATTTTGCTGCTAAGGCAACTCCTCATTTCTGGAAGAAGGTGGCAAAGATGGTAATTTTCTCATGCCCATGCCCCCCTCTTCTATTTTTTTTCTCCCCATCCCCTTCTAGTTTTGATATTTGGGAAGAGTGGATGACCATGTTGCCCTATCACGAAATTCATTCTCTCACGATTGTCGTATGGGATGGCATATCTGGTTTATATGGTCATGCTGCATATCTCTCAGTTTATGATTATTGTAAAGGTTTGCACTGCCAAGATTTGCTCTAAGCTTTGTCCCACTCCTTCCCAACCACCTCACCAAAAAAAGTCATATTGTATTGTATTGCTACAAATAATACGCATTGCACGCATGACTTCTGTGTGAGGAGGGGGACTATGGGAGTAGTAACTTTGAAGGTGAATGATGATCTGTGAGGGTATGTTAGGATGGAGGGTTTTGGAGGGGGGCTTGACAGATTAGTATATATTGTGATTAGTACTCAGTAGACTGTTTCTTTCAGGCCCTTGATGCCTTTTTGCACTTGCTACCCAAAACTTTATAGAAAGCAATAAAGCAAGGGAAGCTAAATGTGACATTTTAATTTAATCCTTTATTTACTCCAAACAAAAACATTGTAAAAAGCCGACACTTTTAGCTTCATTGACAATGAACATAATTGTTGAGATGTTATATGGTCATATATTGTGTTAATCTTCAAATTTTTAAATAATACCGGAGTATATTGAATACACACACAGTGCATATATCAAGATATAGACTAAGGCATTAATCGTTCCAAAGATCTTCCCTCCAAAATCATCCGTCCAGACGGAACCTAAGGGTGAAAACATTTGAAAAATAAAATGCAAGTGTGTTCTTGCAATTCTTCTGTGTCTTTACTAGTAATATCCAACTCTCAACTCCAAAGAAACGTGCAAAATTTGTTTAACAGGTGCCTGGGAAGTCATCCCAAGAATGCTTTGACAGGATACATTTAGATCACGCGACACCACCTCAACCCCGACCACGTGTAAGGACAAAAAAGACCGTATCGTCACTTATGTCTCCTCCCAGTGCAAGCAAATTGCTTCAACGCGCAGATGCAAAACCAAAGAGACATGTTTCACAAAAAGCAGTGAGAGAGATATTGAATAAGCAGTACATGGTAAAGAGAGATAGTAAAGAAATAGATCTCTTTAGCTTACTTGAGGAGTCAACAACAACAACAACAACAACAACACATGATCTTCCAAATGGTGGTGCTAACTTGGTGACCCCTGAGCTGAAGTTAGGGCATCCCAGTAACTTTTCTCAGCAAAGCAACTTGAAGGGGGCCACTCTCTTTAGTCCTCCGGTTCTAAAGCCGATTAAGAACAAAGCTTTGCACGACAGATACATTGATCAGCTGCACTGCAGGGATGCTAAGAGAAAGGCAGCTTATTTAAGGACATCAAAGCTGAACCAAGCCAAGAAAGAAGAACATCAAAAGGTGAACAAAACAGCAGCAGTCCAAGCTGCTAAGAATGCTCTCATCTTTGACGCAAGGGATGCCATCAAACAATTCCAGAATTCACAAACGAATCCGTTCCAAAACATCTTCTGTGGCAGGGAAGAAGAAGAAGAAGAAGATATTGGTGATGATTGTGGTTACAATGGTGACGACGACTGAATTCCAAAGGGTATGATGTCTTTCTTTTGAACGATTCTTGTGTTGCTAATTGTTCTGTAACTGTCTAACTGAGATAGAATTCTGAAAAACATGTATTACTCTCTATGTCAAACCACTTTTTTTTTAAAAAAAAATTCCGTTTTTTGTTTTTGTGAATTCCACCTTTTGCTCAGTAGAGCCATCCAGATAGTAAAGAATGATTTTTCAGGTAATTCATGAGCTTAATGTAAAGAATGATTCATTCGTAGGACAAGTTGATCCTATATATGCCTCCCATTTTGTGTATATAAAGTTTAGTCTCAGCATTGCTTTCTGTGATGTATGTTAAAGATATTAAGGTTCTGGTTGTAATATTCTCAAATCGTGTAAACCCTAATAATATGTTTGATTCGTTGAATTGGATAAAGAAAGAAGAGAGTAATTTTTTTTCCTTTTCTTCATCAAAATGAAGCAAATATGTTTTTTTCTCTTTAGTTCATTTCTTCTGACATTTATTTCTTCTTTCACTTTTCTTTTCTTTTTCTCTTTAACCAAACAAGAAATATATTTTCCTTTTTACTTTCTTTTCTTTTATCCTTTCCAATTTCTTTGAACAAAACATAGTGTTAATCCCTATCTCCAATTAAGTCTTGAGAACTTTAAAATGTTCATGAACTATAAATAAATCATGCATTTTTATTCATTTTTTTAAAGTCATTTTTATTGGAATAAAATAGGCTAGAGTCACAAATAAATAATTTGCAAAGTTTACAAATTTACATTTTGTGAATTTTAAATTAAAATATTTTTTATTATTTGAGTGCATTTTATTTCTACTAAAATGTTAAAAAAGTAGTTTGTGAATTTCGTGAACTGTGAGTTTGTGACTCTAACATTACTCTATTGAAATTCTTTCCCACGAAATGAAATTTGATTTGTTTTCCAAAAAAAATATGATACTCTGTATTAATAACAAAAGCAGATAATAATAAAACAAAAAAACACCCTAACATCTTAATGAATATATCATCCCCATAAAATGTGCCATAACAAAAATGTTGACTAGCGGAACAAATTAAGTACTACATCCGTCACATTTTATAATGCCTATTTTGATTTACGATGTTTGACTGAAATTATTTTTAAACCATTTTATATGACAAATGGTATAGAATTAAAAAATAAAAATTACATATTAAAAAACTACATCAAAAGATCTACAAAACTAGTAGTGACAATAATATTTTATTTTATCAAATTGCTAACGAAAATAGAAAAAGAAAGTGAATGAAGTTTGACCCTGTGATTAGTAAATAGGCATTATAATTTGGGATGGAGGAAGTAATACATAACATTTATTATTTTCATTATTGCCATTTCATTGAGTTGTTTATAAAGGAATCACCCTAAATAGACGTTAAACTTAGAGAAAAAAATACGGAGTATCAAAATATGAATTTTATGTTTTTATTTTGATACTGTGGTAATATAGCATTGTAAATGAGCATTTTATTATACTTTTTGGTAATGTACATGATCATGATTGATAATGTAAATACACTTTAACTCTTATTTTGGATATAAATACATAGAAGTCTTATTTTGATATATTTCCAATGTTTTACTCCTATTTTAGTCTTTTTCTCCTTGTTTACATGACTTGTTTGACACAATCGTCAATTATTAGACTTTTTTTTGATGTTGTGTTTCACAATAATCTCATTCAAAAAATTTCTATGATTTGCTTATTTGATATTCATCTGTCTCTATTTTTTCTGAACTCTTTTTTGTTCTAATTTATTTAAGAAATATTTTTTATGATACACAATTTAAAATTTAAATAGAAACAAAAAAATTTGGGACTTAAAAAAGTTTAAAACATAAAAAATATTTCCTTCCTTTCAAAATGAAATAAAAAATTCAACCAAACAAGAAAAGAAAAAAATAAAAATAAAACATAAATATATATCGCGATCATCCGTAGGGGCCGCAATTGAAGTCTAGATCATCTCATGACAATGTGTTTTTCTGTGTCACATGAACCCATCCATATAACTTTAATTTATGTTAAAAAAGTTTTTTTTTCAAATTTTTAATTCCAATTTTTTTAAACATATGTATGGGTAGACCAGACAAAAATGACCCGACTTGTTTTTGACCTGAAACCCGACCTGAAAACACTAGGTTTTGAACAAAGGTTTTGATGACCGAACACGAAGTTGACCGAACCCGAAATGACCCGCTAAAACCCGACTGAATCCTACCTGACTGAACCGCTAAAGAAAGAATTTTTCAAAATTATATTCTTTACTATTAGTTTTTAATGTATAAATTTATATTTTCAGACAAAATTTTAATGATATTGCATAATTATTTTACTTTTTTCCAAAATTTAAGAATTTTATAATATATTATTGATTTATATATTTAAAAATTACTTCAGAGTTTAAAATAAAATAATTTTATAGATTTAATACATTTTTTTGATATTTAAATTTATTTAATAGAAAATGTAACTAATGTAAGTGTTAATGTGAATTTAAAAATTTTAAAAATCAAAATTATAATCCATTGGGTCAATCCAAATTCGATGATATTGAATCATAAATATATAGTTCTCAATCCAAATCTAATATAATCCAAATTTAGTGACCAAACCCAAACTTGATTTGACCGACCAATTTGCCAGCTCTATGGACTATGGGTTCCCACCCAAATTCAATAGATAGACTTGGGGGCAATACGTTAGTTACGGTGCTCCCTATCGCACTTGAGAATTAGCCGCCGGAGAGTGAGTGAGAGTCGTGGAAAAGGCGGATTTTAAAACCAAGAAAATCAAACCGAAATGGATTGCGACATCGAAGTGAATTGGGCTTCCTTGCAAAACTGCCTCTGTTAGGGTCGCCGATGGAGAGCCAGAAGAGTGTCAATTCTTCCTCTTCCGGCGGCGGCGGCGGCGGCGATGGCGAAGCCTCCAAGTGTAAAGTGAAGCTGATGTGCAGTTACGGAGGGAAGATTCATCAGCGGCAGCGGGACAACCAGCTTGCCTACGTCGGCGGCGACACCAAGATCCTCACCGTCGATCGGAGAATCAGATTTCCCGAGATTTTCTCGAAGCTGAGCTCTCTCTGCACCTGCGGCGACAACGGGGAGCTCTCTATAAAGTATCAGTTGCCCGGCGAGGATCTCGACGCTCTGGTCTCCCTGATCGACGACGACGATGTGGAGCACATGATGGTCGAGTACGACCGCATGCTTAGGGTTTCCGCCAAGCCGGCCCGCCTGAGGCTCTTCCTGTTCAACCCGAACCGCCCCGTGAAACCCGAATCCGAGGCTCCCCTGAACCCGGACTTCCTCTTCGGGTTCGACAAGGATTACCAGCCCAGCATCGCGCCGACCACCCACGACCTTCTCCAATTGCATATCCCCGGAATGCCCCTGCCCGAAAACCCCTGCCCGAAACAGCAAGTTGAAAATGGCCTGCCACCCGGGAATTACGGATCGGTTGCCAACAACAACAAGTTGATGATCCTGCAGAGCCATCACCATCTTCCACCACACCTGCAAGGGTTGCCTGAAAGCCACGTCACCGGCGGGGTAGGTGGTTATGCCAATGGGTTGAAAATGGTATACGGGTTACCCGTATTTCCCGGTGGGTATCACCCAGGCAACCTTGGACAGTTCAGTGTGATAGCCGGAGGGGGCGATCAAAACCTGCAACACCCAATTTACAGTTTTGTCCAGGCGGTGCCCTCTGTCCCTGTTCCGGAGCACAAGCAGCAGCCGCCACCGCCGCTAGTTTCCACCACCTCCGGCGGCGAAATGCTGAATCCTGCCGTGGGTGTCATCGATCAAACTCTGGCCTAAGGTCCCTCTCTACTTTTCTATTTTGGGGTGTTAACCTCTTACTTTTTTTTCCTTCCTTTTCCTCCATGAAAGTACAGTGAGGGTAAATACTAGCAGTGAGTATTATACTATTGGTTTATTATTTATGCCTTATTGAGTTTTGTTCGAGAGGGGTTTTGAGTTTCTTGAATTCTTGATTTCTATTCTTTGTTGATTGATTTCAAGACTTAAATGGTTGTTTGTGCATATAATAATACATTGTTTGAGTGATTATTACTCCATGATTTTTCCATATTATATCCTGTACAAATCAAATCGTTGAAAAGAAAAAAAAAAGGAGTGAGCTTTACATAATTAAAGAGGATTAGGATTGAAATGACTGTGTGGGTACCCAACATTCCATTACAGAGCTAGATGGAGAAAGAAAACAGATAAATGGAAACCCCAAAATGAGTTCATTAGATTAAGCTTGCTTATTAAGCTTTATTATTAAAAACAGACAATGAAGAGAAGAGGCTTCATTATTTTTATACAGAGCTGTTATGGATTAAGCTTTATTATTTCCCTGCAATCACCCCTGCAATGTATTGTCTTTTTAGACTCGCCTTTCAAGACGAATCCATTGCCATCATCAGCTTATCCCTAGCACCTCCACTGCAGTGGCCACCACCGCCGCAGTGGCCCACCACAACCACCTCCGCTGCAGCCCCCAGATATCAAGTCACCAGCACCACAACCACCGCAACTCCCACCACCACCGCAGTGGCCACCACAACCACCACCGCCGCAGCCCCCAGATCTTATGTCACCAGCACCACAACCACCACAGCTCCCACCTCCATTGCCACAGCTTCCACAACCACCACCGCCACAACTGCCACCGCCACAACCACCACCGCCACAGCCGCCGCTTTTCAAGTCGCTTCCTATATGAATCCGTGTCTGAGTCTCCATTTCATTGTCCCCAGTCAGCTTGGGGTTGGTTTTAGTGCCACTCTGGTTTGAGCACTTGACCTTCCAACTTTCTCTGCTTATGGAAAGACTACCATAGCCTTCCTTTCTCGAAATGTCACTAAGTATAAAAGCAGTTAAAGTTCCAGGCAGAAGTAACCACTCCTCTTTCACCTGATTTTGTGAAATATTAAACAAACACCATCAGTGAAGCTAATAGAACTACATACTCAACTCTAGAATAAATAAATAAATAAAAAGTGAAATTGAACAAACATTGATAACTCCAAATTTCAAGTCGACCATGGCCACCGCCTTGCCATATGGGGTTTCAGCCGAGAACTCTATAGCAGTCATAAATTCATCTTCACATCTTCGCTTCTGAAAATGCTCTTTGGGCTGGTATTCCAGCTTCCGGCCAGAGAAATACTTAATCTGTTTCAAGATTGAATGAACATACACGTTTGAAGATTGTGTAAAGGGCCATACTATATTTTTTTTTTCTTAAAGAGAATACAAATATAAGAGGCAAATGCTCACACTTCGTGGCCCAGAAAGCTTCAAAAGGTGACCATCCTCATGACCGTCGCCCTGTTTGTGAAAACAAACCGACCACTCTGCATCTATCAGTGACCATTCTGTCCCTTGGAATTCAGCAAGAGTACATGTTTCACCAGATTTTGTTACAGCAACAACTTCTTGCCTTAACATAGAATCTGGGTTTCCCTTAGATTCATGGGAATCCCTGTAATAAGTAAAGCCTTATTGTGAGAAGCATGGAAACAAAACATCAAACAAATTTGCATATTGGATGCACTACAGGGTCATTTGGATGTCTACCAGAAACATCAATGCTTAATATGATGGTATGTATTTTTAAATTTGTTCGATGTGGTTATATCAATTTACATAACATATTATGACATTGATATAAGGTTTTGTGCTAAACGATTCAACCGAACAGGTAAATGGGTAGATGGGGGCTCAACAGTGAAGGGCATTCATGGTTAGCTAGAGAAAATCCACAGACAAGTGTACCTCATTTGCAGGCTGATGATCTCATCACCATCTTCATCTATGATTCGTGTCCATTTTTTATCTGCCCCAGGGAGAGGGAAAAGGCCAGACGTTTTTGAAACGGGTGGAGAACGAATCATGCGAAGCACATATGGTGCGGTTATTGGCATTGTTACTGAGATTGCAACTCTTAAAGAGATGGGCATGGAAATTGCCAACTCGGGATCTGGAACCAGTTCGAGCCATTTCTCCGTAGAGAGACCAGAGGCTGGGGATATCAGTTCTTCCAAAGAGGCAGAAACAGAACCCATAGTTTTGAAATGATCCATGAGTTCAAAGAACAGATTCCCACTAGCTTCGCATTGAAAGGAAGCAACCTGTTTTTCCTCACACTCCGATGAAATGTCAAGCCTTCTCTTCGCACCAAGGATTCTATCGGGCTGTTCTTTTCCAAATGATACCAAGAGATTCCTCCCTCTATGCTGCACTGGGACATTTCTTAAGCCTGTGAACTCCAACATCACCTGCTTGATATTTAAGAAAAAAAATGTTATATTTCCATCAAAGGGGGAGGGGCAACAACTATAAGTCCAGAAAAATCCCATAGGGTCTAGGGAGGGTGTGTCATGAGTGTATGCAGATCTTACCCTACTTGAAAGTAGAAAAGTTGTTTCCAAGATACACTTGCTCAAACACAGACACACTGACTTCCATCAAAGGGGGAAGGAACGAAGGGAATAAGAGAAGAATAAACTACCTCAAGAACCTTTGTTTCAGGAAGATTCATTAACTTCAGATGCTTACGGAGGGTCAAATCCACATTCTTTTGGACATGGTTAGGGGGAAAGTCATCATTATGAAAGATGGGAAGAGATAACGGTGGATTGCCTCGGTACATTGCACCTGCCCTCCAATATCTCCGACCATATGTTCCTTCCCAGAGCTTGGTGGTGTTAGAGAACCCAGTGTCAAGCTTATTCCCTTTTGTTCTGTCCGAATCCGTATCATCGTGCCCCAAAATGAGGCCGACTAGTTTCACAAGGTCTTTGCAGTAAGCATTGGGATGTAATTGATGGGTGTGCCAAATAAGATCAATGTCATAAGTTGGAACACAGAAGCATTTTATGGATCTCACTTTGTTTCTTCTGATTAAATGCAAGAAGGCTTTGTATCGAGCCACAGCCCCTTCAAGGTACAGCTTGCTCCTCATATGAGGTCTCGATACCTTTACCAAAGACACATGTTAATATATGTGTTGATCAATTGGATTCAGTCTTTCAGTGCGGTTCGAACCAAATAAATGAACCCCAGTATATGACCCAAGTACCTGGTAGAAAAATGGAGTTTGCCTTTTAACAGCTGAAACCAAGTCATAATTGCAGCCCCACTTGATGTGCTGCTGATCAGACATTGTTGAGGCCTCATCAACAGAAAGAGCTCTCGCGAAGTCCATTTCATATGGCTCGCTTGGGTACAATTTCTTCCAGACTTGTTCAGTTTCCCATTTACAAGTTCCTTTCGTCGAAGATGCGACATTATGGCTGTCAAGAACTGTTCCATACAGCTTCTTGCAGTCAGAGCTGTACCGAACCTGCAAAAAAAAAGCGACATTCAACAAAAAGAAATCTGAAACCAAAATGAGATAAATTTTAGACCATAGAAAGAAGTAACACATACAGGGTTGAGCCTGTGACAGTGCCACACCCACTCACAGTCAAGAGGGACAACCAGAGGCCCTTCAAAGAATGGTGTCACAAAATGTTCTGCCAGCAATGGAAGCCAACATCTATAGTACCTGAATTTTTTTTGACCAAAAAGCCCCAAGAAAGGGGCAAAAAAGGGGGTTACGAGAATTTCAAGTCATTTGATGAGAATCATATGTATGTATGTATGTATACCTATTGATGGCCTTATGAAGGGCAGGGCCTTCATAGAGCCAGCGGTTCCTGTCAACTTCAGCAAGAAAATCAATTTGTTGTTGGGCAGCAGTGACAAGGTCTACACTTATTACAATTCTCTGTGCTTCATTCCACTCCAATTCTTGCTCCATCTCCATAACTGCCCATAAGTTTATTTTACATTAAGACAAAATGGTAGTAGTCTTAAAACAGCAGAAAAATGCTGAACTTTATCTGAACACGATCCATGATGAAAATTATTACTTTAAAAAAAAAATTATTAGCTTTGAAAATGTATTCTTGTTCAACCAAAAGTAAACATGGTGATGGGCTGAAAAGAACACCAGAAACAAAACAAAGAAGAAGAAGTTAGGGTCACCGGCGAGCTCCAAGAAGGGAAGAGAACGAAGAAGAATCACCGGAAATGTGTATTGCTATGGAGTTCGGGATGAATGAGCATTGCCCGGCAGGTATTTATAGCATTTTGGACATAACACTTTTAACTTTTGAGTAATCTCTTACTATAAGTTACTTGTAACATTCTCCAATTGTAGAAAGAGCTCTTCATTTTACAGTTCATTTTAGCTAGTTTGTGTTTGTTTGGAAGAGCTCGAATTCTATGGGGCAGTGCAGTTCCCTTCGTCTAACCCTATTGGTTCGATACGAATTTATTAAAGTCTGATTTTATATCATTCTAGTTAAAGTCATTTCTAACCTAATCTGGTTAATCTCTATTCTTGCTTTTGTCCCTTTTTTTTCGCTGAAAACAACTCATAAACAATTCTCTTGGTCTCGTGAAAAAAAGACAAGAAATATAAATATTCTTTAGTTTCTTTTTCATCTTAAAATAACCGTTTATTTAATACGGAGCAATAATAATGATGATAATAATAATAAGGGTGTTTTATTTCTAAATAAGATTAAATAATTCAACGAGTTGAGTAAGTCATTATTTTTCTTTTGCTTTTCAAACGCAATATAGATTTGTCCACCCAAACAATGCATAATGCATGTGATGAGCTGAGGATAAGGGAATGGAGATGGTGCAAAAACCCCAAGCGATAGCCCAAAAACCGCATTTATTTCCTCGCCATGTTTTTAGTATGAGTGTTAAGTTTTTCTCGTGTATCAAAAAGTGATTCAAGCTAAACAACCCTTTCCCAAAAAGGGAAAAAAATTTTAAGGCCACATGAGACGGAGAAGCTAAATTGAAGTATAATTTCAATCTAATTTGGCACATATGAGACGAAGTAATGTTTCCGATGCTTGCAGAAGCTTTACATGATAACCCCTTAGTACTATTGTCAGGATTCAG